CAAGGCGGCGGCGCCCGAGTCCAGCCCCGCTGCCTGAGCGGCCCGGGGGCGCCCACGTAACGTGGGCACGAGGGGGCGCTTTGGGAGCAAGTGGCAGGAGGGGGGCTGAGCTTGCACACGCTCTGGAGCTGCAGCTGGTACGCCCAGGGAGAGAAGAGGGAGACAAGAAAGAGGGAAAGAAAGAAACTTTTTCTGAACGTTTATTAAGGGGGGGGGGCACGCTAAAACAAAACAGCAAAGGGTGGGCCCGCGCAGGGGCCCGGGTGCAGAAGACAGCCTGGGGCTAGCCCTCAAGGGAAGGAGGGAGGAAAGAGAAAAAAGAAGAGAAAAGAAAGAAAGACGTTTGACTTTTTATAAATGTTTATTAGGGGGAAAAGGGGTGATAAAGCAAAACAACAAAGGACACCCCACACAGGGGCCCAAGTGCAGAATGGGGCTAGCCCTCAAGGGAAGGAGGGAAGGAAAGAAAGAAGAAGAGGAAGGAGAGGAAAGGCAGGCAGGCAGTTTCATAGATAGCAGTGGCAGAACTGGAAAGGAACCCTTATACCCAAACATGACACCCGTCCTTCGCAGACCGTCCTTCTCATTTCCCTCCTTGTTGGAAGGCAAGATCCAAGCATTTTTCTGCTTTTTCCTCCCATTAAAAGTCCCTTCTTTCCAATGTATTTCAGCTGAGAAGCCCTGACCCTAGTTTTCACATCAATTTTTTTAAAGCTTTCAGAGGGTAGCAAGCATGGGAGCCTTTTCACACTTCATGTTGTAGGTGCAGCAGTAAAAACAAATTCTGCCTGTGAAGCCAGGCAGCCAGCACTCACCTCATTTCGCCAAGCAGAACCCCAAACAGCTTGGAAACTAGCAAACATACCCAGCCCCAAAGTAATGCCCTCTACCAAAGCAGAATGAGGAGAACTAGCTAGCCATCTTACGAAGTGTTACAAGTTATAACCCATAAATTCACTGTAATGGAAAGAAAACTCTTGCCATCTCCTACACCTGTGGCATGCATCAGGGCTACCTCCTGCGTTCCCTCCAAGCTGTGTGGCGTGTGTGGCCGCACAAGCACGCCTGGCAGCATGGCATAAAACACAGCTGCACACACCGTACACTTTAGAGGGAACGCTGGCTACCTCTGACATAGCTGGAGTTGCTTCTTCTCTTCAACATACACAGGTTTCCCTTGCTTTATGCAGGTTCTCTATGTGCAAATTCACTCTTATGCAATGACCCCTTTTATACCAAAAATTCGTTATATGCAAGGTAAATTCATTCTTATGCAATTGGTGTGGTGGAAATCTGCAGTCACTGCTTTGTGTGGTGCATTGTGGGAGTGACACACATGAAAATACAGTCCCCTGTGTGGATCTGTACCCCTTGCTTGTTGTCTGCGGCATGTATTTCTGTAGTTGCCATCCCCATTATAACAGTGCCCTGTGCTTGTGTGTACTGTCTGCTGTTGGCTAGTACCAATATTGTCTTGTAAAAGTGTTAGAAATAGTTCTGGGGGTCAGTACAGTTGAGGTCTTGAAACGTATCCCTATTTGTTACATTGTAAAGTGAGTTCCCTTTATGCAAATTTGAGTTATGTGCCGTTTTCCAGGAACACATGTACCACATAAAGTGAGAGAACCCTGTATTGGTAAAGTGTGCCAGTTAAAGCATCCAGAGTTTTGATTTTAAGTTTATCTCCTAGAAACACCTTGTTATTTCTTTCAAACTTATGCAAACACAAAGTCAAAGAGAATTTTGTTAATCTTTTGTGGATAGATTTGTTTGAAAATAGTGCCATCTGCTGTTTGAAGCAATTTTTAATGTTTCTACTAAGCCCTGTTAATTAAGTTAGTAACAGTAGAATGTAACAGGGCTCAAGTTAAACAAAGAGCATCAGAAAAATGATAAACAATAAAATTTTTACAGAGCTAAATACAAAATTAAATTAAAAGTCCATTCATTGTCACAAGTACTGCTTTCATGCCCTGCTTCCCCCCATAATACCAAAGATGTTTAATTAAAAGTAACTACGTACAGAAATATTTCTGGCTAAGCTAACATGAGGTAGGGCAGACAGAATGTGTGAGAGTCTCACAATAACATAGACAGAAATATTTTTACAACACCCAGCAAAATGGGCTCCTGATCTTCGATTGAGTTCTTCAACCTCTACCACAACACAGATTAATAATAAAGTCATGCTGGTTTTGAATCTTTTAGAAAAAATATCCTTTTTTCTATCAGCAGGTTGCAGGCATAAGTTAGTGTCCGTGTTTACTTGCAGTCAGATGCCCCAGTTACTAATTTGGGCGTACAAATAAGGTACTTAGTCATACAAAAGATCCAAATTGCGAGAGAAAATAGTTGTGTGGGAAAACAGAGGATGCAAATTGTGAGGCATGTTGGAAACCAACCTCTAGTTTGAATTCATATCTGTACACACACACACATATTCTTTAAAAAATGTTATAACCTTAAAAATCTCTATTTAGATATCATGACTGATGCTGATAACAAAGGACCACAATCTTAACTATATGAGATAGTATCTTAAGAGCAATTCTGCTGATTTTCAGTAGGGCTGCTCATACAGCAAGGTTCAATGCAACATGAATAATAGGGGAATCCCCAGGTTTAAATAACTGATCCATGAAATATATAGACCAGCATATTTTATATGGACTGTTTAGCCACAGGAGATTTATTATTGTCACAGAGTCTATATATAATAATAAAGACTTAAGTTATTACAAAAAAGAGCCATGGCTTCTGTTTTATAGACAGATGTTCTATTAAAATGAAGGGTAATTTTCCCGTTTCAACTCCAAGGGATTAAAAACACAAAGCAGTTTGGTAAGACTATCAGTAAGAACAAAATCATAAGAAAAGCTGACATGCTGAATTTCATTTAAGTAGTCCCATAATGGCCAGATTTTGCAGAGATTCTAGAGCAGAGCTTTCCAAACTTTTCATGTTGGTGACACACTTTTTAGACATGCATCATTTCACGACACAGTAATTCAGTTCCGGGGGAGGGGCCAAGGGAAGCAGACGCGGGTAAGGGAGCTCCGCAGTGCCCTTCCGCAAAATTTTCTGCATTTCGCGCGACACACCTACACACTGCCGCCGACACACTAATGTGTCGCGGCACACAGTTTGGAAAGCTCTGTTCTAGAGTAATATAGGATGTCTGATTGTAAACACTACTATAATGCAGTGGTGTTCAACCTTTCAGCCCTATGGGCTGGATGAGTGGCACAGGTTCACAAGTGCAATCTAGCACACTGGATGTGGCCACACACTGACCCAATCCCCACATTGGCACAATCCCCACATTGTGGGCACTGGCCCAATCCCCACATTGGCACACAAGGTAATATCATCCAGCTTGTAGGGATCCCCAAAGGCTCAGAAATTCGGCACTAGGTAAGCAGCAATTAATGCTACGACTGTTCCCCTGGTGCTAAATTTCTGTACTTGTGGAGAAACCCACAGGTTGGATAATGGCTCCATAGACCAGATCTTGCACATGAGCTGAAGGTTGAGTACCACTGCTATAATTCACTGAAGATCACTAACCTGTGTAACCAAACTAAATATGGGCGATAACGATACTAGCCTTGTTATAGGACGATCTTTACTGGGCTTTCCCGTTATCACACAGGAGATTTCCAATTTGCATTTGAGCTGTTTGTTCTCTCCCCTAAGCATATTATTTTACATTTATTAGGATTCTGAAAGTCATCTTGTTGCATTATTTGGCTATTTATTCTATTCCTTCCAGGTAATGGTAGCTTTGCCATTCTGCACTCCTGTGCATTTACTGACCCTCCAGTTTGGTATTATTAACCAATTTGATGATACTGAAAGTATACTTAATTCTAGGTTTTAATTAATATCTATATTGAAGTCATATTGATTCTTACATTACTATTTTTTATATTTTATCCCATGCATATGGCAAAAAGGGAACAGAAAGTAAGATCTATTACATGCATATTTAAGGCAAACAACAAAATAAAGAAGTCATGTCCCCTCTCTTTCTCCTTTGAGTACCTGAGTTTATGAACAATGTCATTATCTTCAACAAGAGCATTGCCACAATAAGGTCTTTCTCAAAAAGAAAAAAAGCTGGGCTTCACTATGCATTTGAAGATGATAAGCTTTCCATGTCAATGTAATGCCCCCTGTCCCTAGAAAATACTCATTCTTAGTAAAAGCATTTAAACCCAGATCTTCAAAGTTATTCCTGTGGGAGTTAGGTACCTAAAAATCTTTGTGAATCTGTGCCTTACCCTTTATTCTTCATTATTATAATAAGCAACCCTCACAATGCCAGTTGGATAAACATTTATCCCCGTTTTACCTGTGCAGACAGAAGAGTGAGTCAGGTCCAGATGCAGATCTGCTTGACTTAGAATGTCCTAGAGGTGTGCCAATTCTGTTAGAGCACACTGCCTCTTTAGAATTTATTTTTTTTCTACTGGTAAGTAGTTAAAAATAATAATGTATTTTCCTTTAACCAGGCAAGGGCTTCATAATTACTTAATTAACTTGCTCTAACTGTTGTGAAATACCATTAGGTATTCATGTATCATTTTCTATATTTAGTTATTGCAAGATTGACCCAATGGGAATTATAAGCAAATGTATTTAAAAATTGTCCACAACCATTTCCACATATTGAGTTGCTCACCTTTCGCCATGATGATTGCTATTAAGAACTCAGCATTTTGAACAGCTAATTCTGACAATCAGGCAGTAATACCTTAATAGCTGAATAAAGAAGAAAAACATATATACTGTATCTTAAATACCACTGTGTGAGAAGATTGTCTGCTTTTAATGCTATGAACAAACCTGGGACCTCTACAGAACCAAGAGTGATATTGCATCAAGTTTGCACTACAGCTGTGTCACTGTTGTGCAGGAATTCTGTACAATTCAG